GCACAGGCTTTATGGGGGATTGGTAGTAATACGTGATCTAATTCATCAAACAAAATAAACATATACCGCTGACTGGCTCTGCACCTCTCTGATTGCCTGACTCCCATGCGCACCTTGCCACTGAACACACCACGAACAATGGCGATGCTTTCAGATTGATTCAATCAGATAAAATGAGATAACTCTCACTTCTGTAACTACCTCTAACATCGAGATCTTTCTATCTTTCTACTTTCTATCATCGCTTAGCGAAAATAATTCATATAATTTGTCAGGTAAAATAAACAGGTAACCTCTGGTATATAAACAGGTCCCACTTTATCCGAGGTAGATGTTTCCCAAATGGCTGATTTCTCCAGGCAATGCGCCACACAGTGGAGCAATGTTTTGTGCATGTCGGACCACGTATGACGTCAGGTTGTTCTCGGGAAGAACCTCTGACATGAACTGTGCTGGCTCCATTTCGCTAAGCGAGCTTCTATCAACACTATATTTGTTTAATCTTTGGGTTGAATCTGTAGACATGCAGAGCAGACATATATGGCGCCATCTCATTATCCAGATCCAGGGAGACTGTTTGCCCTGGAACAACCACTGCTGTACAATGTCAATGATATGTAGCTTCCTTGTGGTATAACACTATATGATATTCCTATGCTACATAGCTGCCTTTCGGTAAAACAGTGTACCAAGTGTCCATGTTATATATCTTCTAATGTTATAACAAGACCGAGGTATATAATTTACGTATGACATCTCCAGGTTATATCACATCATACTGATAGGCAACATATAACATACCCATAGTATATAGCTAACATAATAATGCATAATTAGCCCAGGTTATATATCTTCCTAATGTTATAACACGATCGTGGTATATAATTTACGTATGACATCTCCAGGTTATATCACATCATACTGATAGGCAACATAACAAGTCGGTGCTATATACCGTTGTGTTATAACAATGTATAACGTTATCCCGACCATCATATACAACGTGTGGTCAACGCTGTTAAAGGAAACATAACACTCTGATGTGAGGACTCTGGAATACATTCTGACTCGCATGACCTTGACATTCCCCAGCAATGGCAAGACGCCATGCACCAAGGTAGGCACAGCATCCTATCTATCTCACTTCGGATTCGGGAGGCAGGAGGGGAGGCTTTTATGTCAGTGAGTTATCAGATATTCCAATGACAATAAATATGTAGTGTAATCAGTGATGACTGGTATGTTTAAGGAGGGATATGATCTGCCCAAGTCTCACGGGTAACAGAATCCAGGACACAAAGACAGGGGCTGGTTTGTCGGAAGGTGACTCTTTACCAAGTATCTCCTTACTGTGGTTTGCAGTGACAGATTGTGAACATCTTCCGACACCTACTCAAGTATCCACCATTTACTGTAGAATAAAACCTAGCGAGAAGATCTCCTCCAACAACCGTTAGGTGTCTAAACAGCAACCCGCAGGCATCCCTTCTACCTGGCTCCGTTAATGAACCAGGAAATTGTAATCCTTTTTTGCCTTCTATTTCGGAGACAAACGATTCTACCAGCTGCAGGTTGAAATAATATCTGATGTGCCAGGGTAAACAACCTCTGCTGGACATAACATACAACAATACCAAAATCAGGGTACAATGCCTCCAACATCAGGGGTACATTGCTTGCAACATCAGCTTTACACTGCCTGCAACACCTGCTGTACACTGTCTGTAACATCAGGGTACACTGCCTGCAACATCAGGGATACACTGCCTGCAACATCAGCTGTACACTGCCTGCAACATCAGCTTTACACTGCCTGCAACACCTGCTGTACACTGTCTGTAACATCAGGGTACACTGCCTGCAACATCAGCTTTACACTGCCTGCAACACCTGCTGTACACTGTCTGTAACATCAGGGTACACTGCCTGCAACATCAGGGGTACATTGCCTGCAACATCAGGGTACACTGCCTGCAACATCAGGGGTACATTGCCTGCAACATCAGCTGTATACTGCCTGCAACATCAGCTTTACACTGCCTGCAACACCTGCTGTACACTGTCTGTAACATCAGGGTACACTGCCTGCAACATCAGGGATACACTACCTACAACATCAGCGGCGAGATTGATGGACAGCGCGGGGTTGAGGGACACAGACGAGATTGATGGACACCGGCGATATTGATGGACACCGGCGAGGTTGATGGACACAGACGAGATTGATAGACACCAGCGATATTGATGGACACCGGCGAGGTTGATTGGACACCGGCGAGACAGATGGACACCACGAGGTTGAGGGACACAGACGAGATTGATAGACACCAGCGATATTGATGGACACCGGCGAGGTTGATTGGACACCGGCGAGACAGATGGACACCACGAGGTTGAGGGACACAGACGAGCTTGATGGCTACCGCGAGGTTGATGGACTCCGGCAATGGACACTGGCGAGGTTGATGGACACCGTCGAGGTTGATGGACATCGGGTCTACTGTCTAATATCTAGAGTCTACTGCCTAATATCTTCCTTCTAATTGCTAGTATCTAGTATCTATTTCACTTTTACTGCTTAGTGTCTAGCGTCTACTGCCTAATATCTTCCTTCTAATGGCTAGTATCTAGCATCTACGGCCTAGTATATACCGTTTACTGCCAAGTATCTACTGCTTAGTATCTCGCGTCTACTGCCTTGTATCTAACTTCTACGGCCTAGTATCTACCGTTTACTGCCTAGTATCTACTGCTTAGTATTTTGCGTCTACTGCCTAATATCTTCCGTCTACTGCCTAATATCTACCGTCTACTGCCTAGTATCTATCGTCTATTGTCTAGTATATACCGTCTACTGCCTTGTATCTAGCGTCTACTGCCTAGTATCTAGCGTCTACTGTCTAGCATCTCGCGGTATCACCAGTGTGTGGGAGAGTGTACATGTAGGGTTGCGTCAGTGTTGCACCAGCTGAGAGCAGGATGGGAGGGGCTACAGTTTTATGCTAATTACGAAATACTTCAACTCGGAACACAGCCAGGAAGTAATTATATCAATGTCTGAACAATTGTGTGCGAGTTTTGTGAGTATATTCGTGGCATGTTATGGCTCGATGCCAAGTGTGGAAACTTGAAGGATTCACACATCTGTGTATAATGTGGTGGTTTACAAAGACCATAAAAATGCTTATGTACATTTCCTAATGTCGACTGACACGATAGTGCCCCAGTGCTTGATGGCGAGATCACAGTGCCCTATGCTTGATGGGGCAGGATAGTTCCGTAGTTCCAAATGCTTGAATGGGTAGGGTAGATCCCTACTACCAAGCGTTTGAAGGGAAAGGATAGATCCCCACTACTCAATGCTTGAAGGGTCAAAACAGATCCCCAGTATCCTATGCTTGAAAAGACATGACAGATCTCAAACATCCTATGCTTGAAGAAACGGGATAGATTCCCACGACCCAATGATTGAAGGGTACATCCACAGTACCCAATGCTTCAACAGGTAGATTGAAATCCCAGAACGCAATGCTCGAAGGGACAGGAGAGATTACCAAATGCTTGACGATGAAGGATACACAGTTCCCATTACCAGGTGCTTGATGCTCATGGTATTGATCACTGGTTATCAATTGCCTCCAAGGTATAGCTGTAATATTTACCACGGTGTTCAGTCACTCAGCTAAGTACCCGCTAATAGCCTGTCACTGACAACAAATAAACCGATATTCTCGTCATACAACACAGCCATGCAGCAAGGTGGGGACCCTGTCACTGCTCTACAAGTTGAGGGGTGGTGGGGTAGTCTCGTGGTTAAAGCATTTGCTTGTCACGCCGAAGACCCAGGTTCGATTCCCCACATGGTTACAATGTGTGAAGCCCATTTCTGGTGTCCCCCGCCGTGATATTGCTGGAATATTACGAAAAGCGTCGTAAAACCATACTCACTCTATCAGCCAACATTCACGATGTCCATCTGGTGACCAGTCGCTGGTGCCTAGATGTAAGTGATGCAACATGTATGGGTTTACTCTGACAGAACCGACGTATGTTGCATTCACAAACGGTAGCATGTTTCACACCAGGTACAGGGGTAATGGAGAATGCTCGTGGTTAATTTGCTTGACTTGAAGATAAAACCTGTACACATGACCCGCAGACGCGTTTCCATTGGTCAAAAGAAGCATGAATCGGTTACAGGGTTATGTCCCTGACCCTGACAGTATTCGCTGGTAATAGACTCCAATTGTCTGTCAACCCTCGGTTGCTCACGTAAATCTTCAACATTCATCAAGTGTTCAGGTTGAACGACAGATCAAAGCACTAGCTCACGTCACCTGGTCACGTGTCCCACCAGAAGAGCTGACCAACTGTCTCTAACACCCAAACCGGAAATGGTGGATGCTTTGATTGTAAGGATGATGAGGAACAATTGCTACATGTCCACCATTACGTTGCTCGTTTTTAATTTTATTGGATTCATATTTCAGCAGGACTATTCTCGACTGTGATATTAAAGCACATTCACTCACTCACCCTGGTTATCGAAACATGAAGCGGTAAACCCTAACGTACAGAGACTGAGCCTCTCTTTCACCACGGCAAGTCATCCATAGCCTCGTTCTGACACAAAGTCCAAGGAATAAACTGAATCTATTCAATCGGTGAGAGCGCCTTGTTGAGAGATAATGCCGACAAATAGTCTTAAAACACTCGACAAACCTCGAAATGTGGGTAAAGACAATAAGCAGTCTTTCATTGAAAGATAATAGTTGTCGGCAAATGGCCGTGTGATTCACCCACATCAACATGGTGGATCAGATAGCTCTCATTAATCAGTAGGCTTCTCGTTAGACCACGGTACTAGATTCATTGTAGAACAACACACAAAGCCTTGACGAATCCCCAGGCCTCTGACCAACTAAGGCAGGCTGACTATGCAAGAATTGGAAATATAAGACTTTTCTGAATGAGAACATTCTATATAACACAAAACGAGATCGTTTCAGAACATTTATTGTTTAACAAAGGAAGTAGCAAAACTGTACAAATACACACCTGTCAATCAATCTCTCAGTGTCAACAGCCACGCCCACTTGTCAACATGTTAACAATGTACACATGTCTTAACGTACTCAATAGACATACATGGAGATCACTGTACCGTAGTTCTTGGGCTGCAAGCCCGCCATACATATCGGACGTCAGACACAGAGACAATGCTCCGGTAAATACGGGAAATGTGGTAATTAGATTACTGACTAAAAGTGACAAACAGTTTTAAAATACCTGGATAAATACCTGGATAAATGCTTTGTTTGAATAAATATATACATTGATTAACCTTATTGGAAATGGCGTGATTAAAATATACCTGAGCATGTATCAGAGATGTAAACATAGCACAACCTGTGTGTGAACCTCTCGAACAATCTCTATTCTTTACCTGACCACAGCTACCACAAAGCTACACAAGCGTTCATTGATATGTGTATCACACAACCGACTCCCTGGGGGATGTAGGGTGGGAGGTGCTGGCGTCTAAGGGACATGGTTGGGTAGGGTGATTTTGTTGTTGCTTGAGCCAAAGATATTTTGCGAGAAAATTTAGAAATTCTGATTTTATGCCAAGATGATAATTATAATGTTTAGATGTCAAAGGCATTCCATTTAACCCTTGAGCTACGAGACCAAGTAAATACCCGCCAAGGCTTAACTGAGATTTTTGAAATAAACATCTGTATTCGATAAAAAGGGAGTCGGTTGTAAACTATTCTTTTAATAATTACAGATAATTTCTCTGAGGTATCAATACCTTTTCTCTGACTCAGAACAGCACATATATTTCTCATGAGCAAAACATTAATTTCATGTAAACTTTCACGCGCTACACTGGACTCTGAGCCCGACTAAAAAACTGTAATACTTACAAATTGTGCACAAAAATGTTTCAAAAACAGTTCACATATCTCTTGGAAAAATGTTTTCTCACAACAACAATGACAACAGTTCTCTTACAACAAGCGTTGGATTGGCAGGATCTTCTCCCTGGGAGCTTCCACGGAGTCGGGGGCCGGGGCCTCTATGCTCAACACTCCGTCCTTAGACAAAATAGATGAGAGGGAGATGGGGTCAATCTTGACCGGAAGTACATACTGCTTACTGAACTCTCTGTAAATCTTGCTAGTCGCGGTCTCCTCGAGATGCTTTGCTCCGATCATTAGACGATTATCCACAGTCTTCAGCGAGATCTCTTCAGGCTTGAACTCACTCATATCGAACTTGAGTGACAACTTCTTCTTGCCGTCCATGTCGGTGACGAAAGGCTGGTCGACCTTCAGCATGTATTTGTCGATAGCGGAGGAACTCCGGCTGGACGTGTCGAGCGCAGTGCTCCCGAACCCGGACCCAAAGCCAGCGTCCATCAGGGCAGCGTCAATGTTGGAATCCATGGACGATCCGAAACTAGTGTTCATTGATGAACCGAAACTGGACTCCAACGAAGACATAGGATCGGCACTTCCCTTTGAAGATGTCATTTTGGTTGTCTTTGTCGTCGTCGTCGTTGTCTTCTTTGTCATCTTGGAAGATGAGGAAGAAGAATCCAGAGACTTATCAAAGCCCGACCCGAGACTCGGCATCAGACTGGACCCGAAGTCGCCCATGTCCATCGGGGTCAGTTTAAACATGTCTCTCTTAATTTTATCCAGTTCCATATCAAACGACTTCCATTCGTCGTCCATGTCTGAGTGCATTGAACTGAAAATTGAACGCTGTTTGTCGAAAAAGCTCCATTCTTCCCTCTTCATGGGTACAAGGTGCTCGGAAAACGCCATTATGTCGAATGTAAGAGTTGCTGTTACAGTGGTCAAACAATAGTTGAGCAGAAGCAGTGGAATATAACCTTGACGGCTGCTCGTGTAAGTCACGTCTGCTGGTGGTATCGTCTGCTGCAGCCGGTGTGTGCAGGAATATATATAGCCACTCACGCGGGGAGGGTCGGAAGAACGGGAATCTTCGCGGCACCACCAGATTCCGACCGGTTTAGTCAGGGACGGCGTAAACACCCCCTTTGGTGGGAATTCCTGCTCTCTGAGGCCACCTGGTGACGTCACGACGATGCGCGCGCTATCCACAAACCCGTTATAGCGCGATATATATCCTGTATGTATGTGCAGATACCCTGGCGCTGGTAGCAGTGCAACATCTGACCTGCGTGCACTTTACATCCACGTAATGCAACCTGTTCTGCACTAGACAGGTAGACGGCTGGAGTGACCTCACCACATCCCCCGCCGTTTACACGTGTTTGCAATGAGGACAGACTCGCTACCTAATACACTGGGGAAATCATATATCATCACACAGAAAACAAAACAGGGCAATATTTACCAGGTGGATTTAACTACAACCAAATATGAGATGCATTCCATACACGCTGATTAGTGTGTCTTAGTTTAACTTGTTTCAATTTCTCTGTGTATTATTAACATTTGAAGGAAGTCTGATATTAGAGTATTCTCTGATATCTGTGGCATCGATGCGTGTTTATGTACTTCTGTTTCATGTCCACCATCCCAGGAGGTTTATGATGATTATGTAAGGAGCCAGCGGTCAGCATGTCCGTCTCATATGACATGCTGAAGCCAACCTGTTTTCATGTCTGCAGACAGAAGGCAGGTGTTTCTCAACTCGGTGTAAGTGGAGTCATATATAACTTTGTCCCTGGTCAGGGGCGTACCCAGGAAAGAATGGAAGTGCAGGCACAACTGCATGGACGTGCGAATGCACTTAGCACAAAAATTGGTTGCTCTATATGATATTTTCCTCAAATGGCATATTTCCAACTTTTCATAAAAATATATTTCCATGGGGAAGTTACAGGAATTGAACTGATCAATTTAGTATTCTAACAAATATTTTATATCATATATGGCTCTTTCAGCAAATGTCATTCTACTATTTGGCCTTAAAATGTTATGCATCAGCTGATTTACTTTTTCTCAAAATAGAAAAGGGAACTTTCCATGCATTTTCTTGGCGGTGTGTGGAGGGTTAACAGAAGTCAGTTTACAATTTATATACATATATAAAGATCTATAGACCAGTGCGAGTAATATCGGCAGAAGATAATTGTTGCAAGTAGTGTTGTCAATACATATTGAATGCCAGAATGCTAGTTCCTGATTACTTTATAGATAAACTTAATTTGAACAAATGACAGTCTTGAAATTTCGTTATAAGGAAATCTTCCTTTTCTTGATCAGCCAAACCAATTCCATAATTGACCGTATCTAAATATGCTGGTGCTTTATTTTCCTCGGTCTGAGGAGCTCATTAGTATTATCTTTCACAGATGAAATCTTAAAATACGTAGCATGAGAGTTATCAAACTTTCATAAGAAGGGAGACTAGTCTCGAAAAAATAAATCCATAACATACCACATGTATAAAAAACTGCCCCAAAATTAAGTGTAAGCACGTGCCTAAAGTCCCTAATGGCACGTACACTACTGCTGGACAAGTATAACATAATCCTTGATCACGTATAACAGTCTCTGGTCATGTATAATATAATCCTTGACTATGTACAACTTAGTCCTTGGTCATGTACAACTTAGTCCTTGGTCATGTATAACATAGTCCCTGGTCATGTATAACATAGTCCCTGGTCATGTATAACATAGTCTGGTCATGTACAACATAGTTTGGTCATGTATAACATAGTCATTGGTCATGTATAACATAGTCATTGGTCATGTATAACATAGTCATTGGTCATGGATAACATAGTCCCTGATCATGTATAACATAGTCATTGGTCATGTATAACATAGTCCCTGATCATGTATAACATAGTCATTGGTCATGTACAACATAGTCATTGGTCATGTACAACATAGTCTGGTCATGTACAACACAGTCTGGTCATGTATAACATAGTCATTGGTCATGTATAACATAGTCATTGGTCATGTATAACATAGTCATTGGTCATGTACAACATAGTCTGGTCATGTATAACACAGTCATTGGTCATGTATAACATAGTCATTGGTCATGTATAACATAGTCATTGGTCATGTACAACATAGTCTGGTCATGTACAACATAGTCATTGGTCATGTACAACATAGTCATTGGTCATGTATAACATAGTCCCTGGTCATGGATAACATAGTCCCTGATGATGTATAACATAGTCATTGGTCATGTATAACATAGTCATTGGTCACGTATAACATAGTCATTGGTCATGTATAACATAGTCATTGGTCATGTATAATATAGTCATTGGTCATGTATAACATAGTCATTGGTCATGTACAACATAGTCCCTGATCATGTATAACATAGTCATTGGTCATGTATGACATAGTCATTGGTCACGTACAACATAGTCATTGGTCATGTATAACATAGTCCCTGATCATGTATAACATAGTCCCTGATCATGTATAACATAGTCATTGGTCATGTACAACATAGTCCCTGATCATGTATAACATAGTCATTGGTCATGTATAACATAGTCCCTGATCATGTATAACATAGTCATTGGTCATGTATAACATAGTCATTGGTCATGTATAACATAGTCATTGGTCATGTATAACATAGTCATTGGTCATGTACAACATAGTCATTGGTCATGTATAACATTGTCCCTGGCCATGTATAACATAGTCCCTGATCATGTATAACATAGTCCCTGATCATGTATAACATAGTCCCTGGTCATGTATAACATTGTCCCTGGTCATATATAACATTGTCCCTGGTCATGTATAACATAATCTGGTCATGTATAACATAGTCTGGTCATGTATAACATAGTCATTGGTCATGTATAACATAGTCTGATCATGTATAATATAGTCCCTGGTCATGTATAACAGTCTGGTCATGTATAACATAGTCTGGTCATGTACAATATAGTCATTGGTCATGTATAACATTGTCCCTGGTCATGTATAACATAGTTTGGTCATGTATAACATAGTCTGGTCATGTATAACATAGTCTGGTCATGTATAACATTGTCTCTGGTCATGTATAACATAGTCTGGTCACGTCTTTCAAGGTGGGTAAAGTCGTCGCCTACAGAGGTTGTAGGCCAAGTAAACCGGTGACCAGTTGTATCACAGTACCCGCCTGACGAGCATCATATCTCCCATATGTCATATGAAGTCAGGTGAAGACGCTTTGAAGAACTTACTGTATATCAAGTGTTACATAAAGCAAGGCGTGGCGATGTCTTTCATGTAGACTAAAGACTTTCGGAACCCTTTGAACAACTCATTGCTTCGGTAAAACTTCACGTACACCTTCACCTGTGTCTGCTGATACGTGTAGTGTTGTGAATACGTTTAACAGCACATCCCACTTCCCGTTTACACCAGACTGGCTACAAATTAGGGAAAAGATATTTCTGTTAACGGTTTTGCTGGTCATATTACCGGTGTAACACATATTTCCTCCACTTATTCAAGGTGGACACTTTCTAGCATCTTACATCTAAAATGGAGCCGGCCTAACGCAGCTCCTGCCGGGAGACCTATATTCACATGACACATCGTGCCACACATACATTGGAACTAATACTTTCATTGTCAGCATAGCGTGTGATTGTTTTATACCACATACATACAGTGATATGGCAGTGTAGTCGATGTCGCAGGCTGTGTTGTGGTGTAACTCCCGCCGCGGTGACAGGAGGTATGCCAACACTGTGTAACAGTCTTCACACAGAATCCCTTCTATTCCTACTATGACAAAACACACGATGATCACAAGCGGTGAGAGCGCTTCACACTGGCGGACTCCTAAACAGAGTAGTACTACTATTACTACAATCTCTCCACGATGTCAATGTTGGAGTCACCTCGTCTATGATTCAAATGTTGTTTATGTAAAATACAACTAACTGCAAAGTAATTACAGTAGCAGTACATTGGTATAGCAGTGGTAATGGCAGTAGCAGTAAGTCAATCAAATTCCCCCGGCAGCTTTAGTGGCCAAGTTTACAAAATCGACCTAGGTTGGACATCGAGACTGAAAATATCTTCACGCTGGTCTTGATGTAATATCAGATGAGAGAAGCATGTGCTTGCCCACTTGTATAGTTCCAGAAAGTTCTCTACCATACTGGATTAGGCTATAGCTGCCTGAACCACATTAATTTCCCTACACCCTCTCTGTTGTAGAAGATTCCAGATTACACCTGACCTAACAAACCATCAAACTATCGTAACTTCTACAGACGCTGCTTAGATTTCATAGTAATACATCCCCGACTATCTCAGCTGCATGATCCCCCATAAACTAAACTTTAATAGCGAAAAACATTGTTAACTTTTTAATATTATGTACGACCCGTGAAGGTCCGGGTTAGAATGAATCTTCAGTAACCCATGCTTGTCGTAAGAGGCGACTAACTGGATCGGGTGGTCAGGCTCGCTGACTTGGTTGACAAACATGTCACTGATTCCCAATTGCGCAGATCGATGTTCATGCTGTTGATCACTGGATTGTCTGGTCCAGACTCGATTATTTACAGACCGCCGCCATATAGCAGGAATATTGCTGAGTGCGGCTTAAAACTAAACTCACTCACTCACTAATATTATGTACATGTATCTACAAACTATTAATTAAATCCAAATGCTAAATTTCTGGATTTAAGACTATCTAGAGCTGCCCAATCATTCTAGACTTGGGTTAGATTCAACTTTTATAATGCATTATCTGCCTGGGAGGCTGCATACCGCACATGTCAGTCCCCTGTTCACATGTAAATTGACAGTCATCTTGATATGTTCAGCATATCAGACCGTTCTGCACATAATAATGGATTGAGGATTCAAGAGTTGGCGACAACAACTGTCACTTGACTGTGGACGTCTGTCGGTGATTCTGTAACTAACATCAGTATTTAGTCATGTACCCAATACCCCTCTCACGTAGGACAACAACTGACACATTGCTGTAACCTTTCCTACGCAGTCGACAAATTGCTGTATTCGTGGTTTTTGTTGTTGTTGAC